CAGCTCCAGAAACCCTGGAGAAAGAGCGAAGACTCATCAAGAGGAGTCCCAGATGCGGTGTTTTATTGAACGCTCGTGGATGGAAAACACTATGTACACCAGACCGCCAGCATTTACTTCTTGGTTTCCTCCTCCTTGGAGAGGGTCTTAATGATCTCCTCCTTCTTGGCTTGCAGGCGTTCCTCACGGCGCTTACGAGCCTCCTTGGTCTTGGACCTGCGAGCTTCGGCCTGGTCGCTGCAAGAAGTTAAGAGTTTGTGAATGCGCAGGGATCACCTTGAACAGCCCCGAGAAAGCTTTAACCACCGGCCCTGATCTCCTCTCGCTCCACAGGATCCTGGTTTGCCAAACCAGCTGCTGAAGTGAGCTTTGCTCCAGCGCTCACGTGCCATCCGCAGCTCAAACTGTAGTTCCCCACAGTGGTAACCTGGTCCTGCCCAGCGCCGAGCGAGAACGCTGGGCTCTGCTGCCCTCCCTGCCGGGCTCTTGGTTCTGGGCAAGGAGAAGCCGTGATCCAAGCTCTGGGGACTGCCCTGTTGGGGCTGGCTGGGGTCACACACCTTTACTACAGATCAAGGTTAAGATACTGACTTTTTTTTAAATCCAGTACACAGCAGGATTTTTAAATCCCTTGGCTTTTATGCCTCCTCACTGCGCCCTGTCAATTATTTACTGATCCAAGTGGCTGGATCAGTAGCTCTACCAGTTTACAGCTGTATGAGCAGCTAATATCTGCTGTGGGACCGCACAAAGCTCTGCCAGGATTACGCATTTCTCTGCTCCCAGCCAGCCCTACCCAGTTTTGGTCTGATTCTTTACCAGGGCTCCAGACAGAGCCACCAGCGACAGAGGCCATCTGGCATTACCTGCCTGCAGAGTTATTTAAAGAAAACGGATTCCACAACCTGCGAGACTGAAGTTTAACACCGCGGCAGCACTTACGCCAAGAGCTTCTTGCGAGCTTTATCTGCCTTGAGCTTGTGGATGTGCTCCATCAGAATCCGCTTGTTCTTGAACACGTTACCCTTGACCTTCAGGTACAGGCTGTGATACCTAACGGAGCAGAACAGAACGGACTGTAAACCGGGCTGCCCAGGAGATCAAACCACTGAGCAGCTTCCAGACATCCTGCACCCTTCCTGGCACAGAGCAGCAGTGCACACGAGCGTGCTGTGAGGAGCAGGGTTGCTCTGAAGCTGCTGCACTGGCTCTTTCCTCCGAGCAGGCAGAGGAATTGTCTGGAAAGCTGCCGGAATTACTCTGGAGCAGCTCTCCAGTGCTGTGCTTCCCAGAGGGGATTTCTTTTCATCAATCTGTACGCCGAGGAGCCGGCCACAGAAGCTGCACGCAGCAAGGAAGGGGTATCTAAGTGTGCAGACACGCTGCCCAAAGCTGGGCATGGCATGACAGGCTTACATGTGGCGGTCGATTTTCTTGGACTCCCTGTATCTGCGGAGCAGGCGCCTCAGAATTCGCATCCTCCTCATCCAGGTCACCTTCTCGGGCATACGAGCGTTGGCCGTACCCTTTCTCTTACCTAGAGACAGCAGGCAGGATGAGAATGAGGCCAAATTTCTGCCAGTTGAACAACACGCTTTTGCTGAAGTGTTTAATCCTTCTCTTTGCTTCAACAAGAAAACTACTAACATACAAACTATATTTTCAGGTCCTGCCACAAGACTCTTGAAGATTGTTGCTCAATATAAGCTTGTAGGTGGACCACGTGCCATGGAAAACAGACATTTCTCTGGTCCTCAGAGGGGAGTCAGCACTTACCGATGCCCATGTGCCTGCCCTTCCGGCGGGCCAGGGTGTTCTTCCTGCATCGGGCACGAGAGTGAACGGTCACAGGTTTGCGGATGATCAGACCATCCTTAATCAATTTCCTGATCTGCTGACCTGTGGAAACAAACTCCATGGTCAACATCTTATCTGAAATAAGATGCATTAGGCAAGTACAGGCTCCCATCTGGCTTGTATGAAAAGGATGCAATGCAAAGGACAAGCCAGACCTTTCCCCAAAGCTTCCTCATGCTGCTGTAATTGTTCTTTTCCCCTTCCCATTTCTCCCTCACTAGTTATCTCTGAGCACACCATGTACTAAACCCACTACCACGAACCCACCAGTCACTGCACTGCGGAACTTTGTAAATCCTGCCGATGGACTCATTTCCACTTTGCAGCACAAAGCAGTTGCTCAAGAATCAGAATTTTACCTAAACCAGCCTTATTGCTATGGAGCTAGTCAAAAAGCCTCTTCCCATATCCCTGACGCATCCCTTTCCCACAGGGCAACACAAGCAACGCGTAGCATGGCCGCGTCCGTGAGAGATGATTACTTACGCGAGTTAGCGTTGGCGATCTCATTGGTTTCGTTGGGATCCAGCCAGACCTTCTTTTTGCCGCAGCGCAGGACGCTGGAGGCCA